ATTTTCGGGCAACATTCCGCTTCTGTTGCAAAAGTTTCATCAGGTCGGCTGAATAGGTCGCCAGGTTGACCGATTCTTCAGGCAGACGGAAAACCAACCAATGAGGTCTGTTTCAAATCTCAGACATAAACAACGCTGAATATTAATAAGTGGTTCTTTTCTGCTAGGTAAATGACCAACAAATATGGCGGGTTCGGACTTGGAGCCTGCGGTTTAGAGTCCATTGGTGGAAACTTCTTTTGAGTATCGTTCACAAATTTTCGTTGATCTGCGGGAGTTGGTAAGTACCTGGACAACTGGGTTAGTATGAAGGGGGAATCCAGCGGATTCTAGTCAACTTGAATGATGTACTTTTTCCTGAAAGCTCTTCGCTGGTAACAGCATACCACCATGTTTAGACCGGGTTGACTTGAAACTGAATGATACACAAGTGGTAGATAATTTTTTAAAAAACTACGGTTTACCAGAAACTGACACACTGGTGCCTTCGTAAACTGCCAATTATTCCGTCCATAGACAGTATATCTTAAGGTAGGTTCAACAATGTCCAGTCGATCAGCAGCTTTATTAGAATGACAGTGCAATTTGAAGTAAAGGAAACGTCTGGAAAGCGGATACCCAGCGTGTATATTTAAGGGGCAACAAAGGCTAGTGTTGACTTAACACCAAGATTCAGCTATTCATACAAAACCGAGGCACCTGAAGTCCGTAGATGGAGACCGAAAAAGGGCTGAATATTAGTGCTGCATTCCAGTGGGGAGCGGAGGCTTTACGTTCAGTATTGATACAATTAAATGATCACCTACAAGTTAGTACATAAAATAGAATATAATGGCTGCACCAGATAGTCAGAGACCCGCACACCGGAATTGCTAAGGACAAGCGACACAGAAGTAAACCACTAGGAAACGTAGCTAAACATCGGTCAGTAGTTAAAGACTTCGTAATGGCGTAGTGTACGCTAGACACTCAAATTTTTGATTCCAGTACTGAAATTCAAGCAACAGTGACTAGTGGCTGAGGAAATGAAAATCGTCAAGTACCCCACCAACGTCAATATACTAGAGGTGTAGAAATAGTATACATGTGGAAAGCCGTTTTAGACCAACCGAATGGACACGTGGCAATGTGCGGTTATCTCTGAAGTGGTATGAGTTTAGAGTACAAATTTCGGGTGTGATCCATCCAAAAGACAAGGACCGCTGAGCAACATTAAGCACCTGATTATGTCCGAGTACTGAAACATACATTGCTTGGTTTTCTGTCTCGCTTAGGAATCCTTCAACCTCGTAATCTGCTCACTCGGCCCAACGAAACTGCCGTGTCACAAGCGAAATTCTGTCATACATTTATTTCACCTGTTGTATGCCAAACCTTTCCGAAACTTAACACTTTTCGTGAACTAATCCGACAATGGGTTGATGTTGACTGGGATAGTATGTGGCGTTTTCATTTATTATTGCCTGGACAGTTGACTTCGTTTGTGTTCCTCACTTTTTACCTTACACATATTCTCTGGGGCACGAATCAGGATTACGTCAATTCAGAGTGTGCAGTCATTGAGGGCTTTTCTTGAAGCTGACTCCTCCAGAAGTTCCAAATCCCATTAAATAGAAACAGCTAGGGTTTTCGCAGACCTTGCATTCCGTTCCACTATTTATTTTCTGAGATTTATGAAAGATCACTGGACCATTCCAATCCATTTTCTTCCCTCACTTATTGCCACTTGTAGTGCTCACCATTCCATGTTAAACCTCGAAGTTTCTCACCAGTTCAGTCAGCTTCCATTCCTTATCGTCTCCTGATCTTAATCAGATAAACTGGAAGTTTATTGTTTGTCCTCACATATTCTTTAAAAGTGCACATGCACTTACTTCGCTCAGATGTGTCTATCGGAATGATTTCAACAAACACCGATGCACCTCTAATTTGTGGATATTAATGTGTTTAGGACTATACTTTCCCGAAGTAAGCAGATATCTATTTGGATCAATTTGCTGGAGCTTCCAAAACCTGTAACCCATTGGATGATGCTTGACTAATATAGAGACCTATTCAATTTTTACATTATCAAGACTTAAAAATTTGGAGTCAGCCCGGGAGAAAATCGATAGCAATAAGGAGGGGTGCCAGATATTTGGTGCAGTGGAACACAAAGTAACAGTTGTATGTATTTACAAGCTTTCACTATTTGTATGAAACCCTCAGTCCGCTTGCTTGCAGTGAACCCTCGTGCGTATCATACAATAGAAAATACCACCTCTGAGGCACTAAGTGCCTCATCAACATGAAGACTGTGTGACCAAACCCTCCATTTTTTCAGTTGATAGTTGAAAGCTTTATTTAGTGGAAGCAGACCAGTTGCTCACGGTTGGTATTTACTGATTTTGACCAGTCCACTTATACTTATACTCACTATGATCGTCTAAAGGTGCCTAAACTTGGCCTGGTGAGCGAATAATATTCTTTGCCAGATATCTGCTCAGCGTAGGTAACAAGTGAAGCAAATTCAACAGTGACTGCTCAGTTGGAAATTACACAGTGTATTTTCGAATCATTTGTAATCAATCCAAACAAAGTGTGGGAGTAAGAAAAAGGCCAAAATTCAGGAGAAGTCGCCGAATCTCAAGGGATCACCACAACCGTTAATGAAGTATATTTTCTTGGTGTGACATGCTACTCACAAGGTTTCCAAAGACTGCAACAGCGCACCACTAGTTTCGCACTTCTTCGAGATCATCAGGTAGGTGTATCTCACTAGTTTCAATTAGCTGAATGTTTTAGTTGAGCATCAGGTTTCATGCAGTTGACGAACTATGCTCATTTGAAAATTACGTTGATGTTAACGAAAAACTCAACCGAATGTTTCATTTATGATAATCTTCAGCTAGCTCCACCGAAAGCAGGCGGCGTCATGTTTTAGTCGGTATGATAGGCTAGACATTTCATTGATAGTTTCCGGCAGCCTTTTGAGTAGTTTGTTCTATATGTACAATGGTCTCTTCGCGATCTTGAAGAAAACCCTATCTTCAGTAAATCCCAAAATGGATTCATACGGCATCATCCAACAACAGTTTACGTTTGCGTCCTCATCCGAAAAGAAACAAAGAATGGTAATTGATCAGGTGGCTGTTGATCTGTTCGCCAAGCTTGGTAATTGATTTGCAAACGTTTCGTCACCATTCGATGAAATATCTTCAGTGCGCTTTTGGTTAGGTCTTACTAATACACCCGGGCTACCAATATTCCAACACATTACCAGAAACGAAGGAATTAACCACGGTGAGAATTGCAGATTCGGAATGCAAAATTTGTCCCACTCGCGAGTAATGCCGTTGTATTTAGAGGAAACTTCTGGTCCTGCTATATTACGCCATGTTCTAATCCAATAAAAACTCGTACGACTCATCTGTGTTCTATGTCTTAACGATTACTCCCAAAGGCTTTCTCAGCGTTGGAAGATGGCGGCTCAAAATACTGTCACAAGGTATTTTCATTTGAGCAGACTACCTTAAATTTTTCCTTATATTATCCAATGGACCGCCCCGCCTCCACTACCAAGTTTCTAGCACACTGTTAACACATAACGTATAACTAATCAAAGGCTTTACTTCTCTTCAATCCCTCTTTTGGTTTATGCTTTTCGTGCGGGTCAGTCGTGTTAACTGAAGTGAGGTCTCTCTTCTACTCTGTTATTCACCTGGGACATAAGTGGAATTTCGAGAAAAAACCGGTTTTAACGCTCGGTAGCTTTTTGCGGTTTGGACTGTCAACACAAGCGGTAACGTAAGAAGTTGAGCTGAGCTAAGCAGAACTAAATTCGAATCTACAGGAATTGAACCCCTTTGCTAAAAATCATACTGTCGGTTAACTAAGGAAAATAAAACTTCCCCGGTAAACTCAGTTGGTTTGCTTGTCACATCAAACGAATAATCAGGTGAAACATGCTTTACGGTTTTTGCCCATCAAAAAGATGACACCATTCAATAAAAGACTTGAAATCAAATCTATCTGGGGCGAAACGACAGAAGATGTGCAGCCGCTAAGTGTATTTTTCAAATTAATGTCAAAAACATGAAAGTGATTCCGTCTATGTGCGTTGTACATATGTTGCAGGCCTTGATTCACATACAGCTGTTTTCATTATACCAAAGACAACCCCACGACTGCGGACACCGGTTCGCCATTGTGTAAAAACGCGGTTCCACAATAAGGATAAGTTCAGATTACTGTCTTCAACTTAGATCTATCCACCGTTTTGGGTTTATTTGTTGGCCCTTGGTATGACCTATTCTGCTTTGGTAAAACATACACACTCCGGAGCTTGTTTCTTTTGAGCCACCCAGCACACGGTTCTACTTCTTGCTTCAACACTTCTAACGGAAGTCACGTTCACCTGTACAGGACTAATGGATTTACTGACAAAATGTCATCACGTGTGATAGCGCGCTTCAACCCATGGTCTTGACCAGCTTTCTTCAATGTACAGTGGCGATGGGTATTTGCTTCCTTCATGAAGTGCAGGTTTCCATGGAGGATGACTGCACTTTTTCAACTGTAACATTTTAAATTACTCTTGTCAGTACTAAAAGGATAACAAAATTATATAATCGTGATTTATTATGACTAAAAATCACTTTGTGTTAACCCGCAGGGAGCTTTGAGCTATCAGGGACCAAATTTATAGTGTGATGTTTTCCCACTCTTGCTGTCTGAATAATGGTAGGAAATAACTGTGGGATCGAGAAAACGTGTCGAAAGATCAGAATTGCCTAAAAAACTTTCCAAAGTCAACAGTTTTGCTCAGTCAACCTGTCTTTTAACAACAGATAGGTAGAAGTATAGTTTAATAGCATCTCGGTTAATCGGAAATAATGCGGAGAAAGTTATAGAGTTCAAATATATCTGGTGTCCTCATTATCGAGTGAAGAAAGGAAGGAAATCTGACAATGATAGTAAATAAATAATTACGCTCAGCGTACTTTTGGGTGTCGAAAGTCTTATAACCCCCGATCTTGAGTTGTACTTCTCAAAACCTTCTTCAGATGCAATTCTGCTTGAGCAGTGTTCAGTTCAATCTCAAGTGCACAGACAAGTTTGATCAAACTGAGTCTCAGCATATATAGGCTAATGTTTTCACTGTCATCTTCCACTTTGTAGGATTTGGATGGACTGTGGGAACGAGCTCGATTTCTTGATGTCTGCGTGCCCTTTGATAGTGGCGTTGGATTTTTCGAACACGCTGAAGGAGTATCACGTTCCTCCGTTTGTGTTGTTACATGAGTTTTTCCTTGTAAGTTAGAAGGGAAGTCATCATCTCTCAAATCAGACAGCTCCGCCTAGGTGAACGGAAATAAGATTTTATGCAAAGTGTAGTTAAGCGCCCTTTAAAGAGCTAATAAAACATACAAATAAAAATAGTTTAATAATTAGGAGATGCGACAACCACTCTTCAAAGGTCAACAAAGCACTAATTGCTTGAACGCGTCCATCTGCTGAATGCCAACAGAACGTTTCGAAAAAGTTTCCTGTTCTCAGGCAAATGTGTTTTTTACGATGTGGATGGACACTTATCCCCTCTACATTTTTATCTTCTGCCTACATAGTTCCTAACTTTCCCTTCAAGTTTCAAATGTTCAATTTCCATTGAACACTTTAGAAATTCGGGGAGCGTTAATTGACTGTCTTCATGTTATCAGGTTTTTTGTTCACTGCAAGTGCTAATACGGAAACCTTTTTACTTTGTCAGCCGATGATTATTTTCATTAATTGTCACTATTTATTATTTCAAGTAAGGAACCTCATAACCAATGCCGCTAGATAAATAACTAGTTCGGAAAATGAAGTCCATGACAGCAAAGTTTTCTTCACCCGTCACCTTCCACCATACTGATGATGAAAACTGCTAACCCAGGATTGAAAAGGTGTAGTTTGATGCTGGGGCTTCCACATCCTATACTCAAATGCTTTTTAGTTTCAATTTATTCTCCCATTTTGTAGCAGCAGTTTGCTGTTAGAAATCATCACAATGCATCACCTTTGTCGGTGGTTTGATGGATATCAATCTAACGGCTGGTATGCATAAAAGCTATAAGACAAAATCGCCGTTTGAAGTTAAACGTGATTCATAGAGTTCATAAAATCAAATAGATAGTGTGGGGTGGTTTTTTGCTTTCACTTTATTCCATACGTGGACAGTGTTCAGAATTCGTACACTGTAACTCCATAGATGGGTCAGTGACTGGGCCTGCAGGATATGTTCCCACTGTGGAAGTAAATGTTGCACAGGGTTTTATAACCTGGAGGCTTTTCTGAATTATAACTTACTTAAAGGTAGAGGTTACGTTACGAGACAATGTAGCTGTGCATGTGTCTTTGGGGGGATGGTGGATGTACTTCGGCTTCTGTCACGCATAACGTACGAACCAATTCAATAAAAATTATAGAAAAATTCCATGAGAGTGAACAATGGTTGTTGGTGAAACGGGACAGGCTACAGTGGATATTCTGAATGAAAGAGAACTTTTAATTTCTCAACATGTTTGTTGAAAAGGTTTTGGTATTATCAAAAGCAGAAACTCCTATACAGTTGGACTTTATTGAAAAGACGATTACTTCGTACAACTCACCTCCCTTGGGCTTGCTAGACAATAACAAATGCTTTAACATAGCGAGATCTAATGAAGTCGGGCACCTGCTTGTTTGAAATCGTTGTCTGAAAGTAATTGTTCATAATAGAGAGCCTGCATTTAGCTGAAAATCCAGTACAAGTAACGTTGAAAGTTTTGGTCTTTATTCACATGGAACAAAGACCTGTCACTCAATAAAAAACCTGAAGAATAGTTAGCTGTACACAGTTGAGCAGTTTTGCACCAACAATCTCGAGTAAGTGAAGCGTTAGGTAAGGTTTCACTCTTTACATTACGACCACGACGTTGCGGATCTACGCAATGTGGGCACGAATAAAACCTGATGGGGCCGGTCTTTTGAAACAGCAATGGAATCGCACCGTTCTACACACCATAGGCTAACCAGAGAACCTTGGTAATACAGTAGGGAAAGTATGGTATACGACTACAACTTTGGGAAATGTGAACTAATAGCACCTCTATAACTGCCAGCCAAGACATTCATGAGATCTGGAGTCGGCTACCTTGATTCATTTAAATGACGGTCCACAAAGATCACCTCATCATTCCCATAATACAAAACAACTACCGTACAATGACAAACAACTTATGTTAAAATCTGCCATAGTAACACGAAAACAGTGGACATTACGCTAACCTGTCGCTTGTCCACCGAATACGTTCAGAAGTATCTCCACCTTCTAGGATACGCTAGCTACATGTAAACTTGCAGCATGATCACAATGGTCATCGGATTTCGGTGACGGCTAGAATCATCCCCAGCGTAATCATGGCCTCGTTCCAGAAGAACTACACCAAACACACCAACGCATTTCTTAAATCACTTTGTGCCTTTATGCTAAACCAAAGTTTGTCCACCTTCAGCGCGCTATTCCAAAGTAAACGAACAGCACTCGTCTCGACGAACGAAAATTTGGCACACACATCACGACCGAGCCGTTGCAATGTCTTAGCTAGAGAATTTCCACGACCAAAGCGTTACAATCTTCTCTTGCAGTTCTTTAGCACATGCATTGTAAAGCTTGAAATCTAAATGACCTTGGAAAAAATAATTAGTTATCTTATGATGTTTTCTTATGAAACTCACTTTTATCCCAAAACAATGTAGCTGGTGTTCGGCCAGTTCCATCTGATTGACAGTATGTCCACAGCCTGCACAGTCTACTGGAGCATAGGCACAATTTACGTGGTGTTGACCAGAGTGCATTACTTCAACCGGACCCACGAATGTGCACCCTCGTGAGGAATGTTCACAATGAGTTAGAAGACCATTAATGAAATTTCGTAGCGCCAGGACGGGTCTGGAAACGACATTTATTATCGATTTTTCGTCGTATTCCTTGTCTCCGATCTGCGGAAGCTTATGCCGACAAGTTGGACACCGTAGACTTAGACGTTGGCAGTAATTATTCTCCGGACATGAAGATTCCGGCATTGGGCAACTAGCTGATATCCAACCCTCTAAACACTTCGCACAAAACGTATGACCACAGTCAGTTACCACGGGAGAAATAAACACACCCTGACAGATACTACAAAGAAAGCTATCGTCAACATGACCCAGAAATCGTTCCAATGGTATTCCCATCAGGTGCTGGTTTTAATATTCACGATATTCACAATATTCTGATTTTCAGACCACACATGTGGCCTGGCTGCGTGCCATATGATGTTGCATTTAGTACAGTACGCTCCTGTCGACCGAGTTGAATCATCTGTACCGGTCCAATCACTGATGCTAATAGGATGCGATTCTGACGCTACCTGATTGGTCAGATAAAGAGACACAACTTGATTTCCATAAGAATACCTATCGCTTCATCATATCAACATTTCAACAGCGATGCTATCCAGTAAGACCAAGACAAATATTCTAAAGCTTTCAAGCATTGATTGATTTTTACTGACATACACTCCCCCGTCATTTAGGTATAAAGTCTCGTGGATTAAGTAGCGGCACTCAGGAACCAAATAGCAGGAAATTCCGTACAGATTTTTTTAGTGTAACAAGTGATCTATTGAACGCTGGAATAGTACGGATAGAAAATTGAATTTCCGAAGGTCCAGAACAATGAATAAGATAATATTCACATATTCAGTGTGTTAGGAAGGGTGAAAAGTGAAAGGAAAGTGAAAGGATGTCACGTAGCAGTCACGTGGTTGCATGTACTATTAAATCACTCCTCATTATCCAAAGAAATTGAAAGTACTTTCCCCAGCCAATCGGATATGCTCCGACCAAATCCAAATGTGAATTTTCGTAGCATCCAGAGGCTTGTAATGAGGTGGCGGAATTTAATCCTATCAAAACTGAGCAACAAGTGTTTCATTATGCACAAGTGTGAGTGCTTCAATCACACGTAAATCCGAGTTTGCTTCGTTTGTCTAATAGACGGAGTCACCATTGACAGAATGTTGCTGGTTGAATAACAGTTTAAATGCTGCGTTCAGTTGCAAGCTAAACCTATTTTTTCAAGATTTAGCACGAGACACCTTTCTGTCATCTTTATTTCAATGGAAATTACTTAGTAGCCCCTTTCTGCTTGCTGACTATTTATCCATACTAAATTTACTCAATGCATCAATATTTTGGGGTAATAATGATGACTGACCCCAGAACGTACCCTTGAAATCTCACGCACCACTCTGTTTTCTAAGCAGCAAGAACGTCCTCAGCAGTGTTTGTAAAAATCACTCTTGGTTATCCATTTTCAAGGCAGGTTTTCTAAAAGAAGCAATGCTTGCTTCCTTTATCCTTTTGGAAAAATGTTATCCAATGGTTGGGGAGTTTTTTGTCCCTGAACATTCTGGTAAACCAGCAACAAGGAAGCAAAAACAGACCGTTCTGGTTTTCAGTTCGTTTAGTTGGTGAAACATTGAGGAATGCTTCAGGGAGTGTGGTAAACAACTGGACATCCTCAAAGTAGCTGTCAACAAGGAAGTCTAATTAGCAAACTCATGGCCCGGAGGAGTCATTCTGTTAATCCTGAATGTGAATCCTGAGAGCTTGGTCGGAGTTAGGTCAATGTGATCTAATTTTTTTGAAAAGTAAGCCCACGATTGACTTTGCTTTTCTTGAGGTTCACCAAAAAAGGACAGTTCCGAACAACATGTCGATCTTGTTTCACTTCAAACATTCGCGAGACACAGAATGATTCGGCTTTAACGGTATTCGGGAACTGCGTCCAATTTAGGTTCAAGTAAAACATGAGGATCACAGAAACTAAGAAAATCCATCCATCTGATGAACGTCAAGGTGGCTGAGACGGTTCGTGCTTTCAACAACTTTGTGTGTAGCGTCCCCCCCCCCAAGAGAATATACTGCACTATCTCGAATATCGTATCAACCAAAACATGAGGCAGCCTTTGTGCAGCACATTCAGTTGAAAAAATATTATAATAGAGGAATGCAGCTGAGATTCAGTTGAATCTTCGGTTACAATCAAGTTGGTGTGCAAATGAGTGCATTCTGCAAAAACTTAAAACATTTGACTACATACATAATAATGTGTCGAGGGGCAATTTTCTTAAGGGTTGTGTGATTCCTTTTCTGTATGTGACTATCCCCTACAAAACTAGCTATATATGGAATTTCGTGGCTCCGCTGAAAAATTAGGGACTTTGTGACTATTTGGTTCCGATGAAATAACACAAGGAATAAGTGGCTACACTAGAATGGCACCAGAAAAAATTTTTCGGTGGTATCAATACGCCGTGGTTCCAAAAATGTTGGATGATTTTATCCCCATGCTCATGGTGACGTTCAGCGGAAAACTTCTACCAAACAGGATATGGTGGTTTGCAAATCAACCTTCACACATTCATCCAAGTGTGACCTTATTGCATCCAAGGCAACCAGAATGTCAATCTTGGCTTCTTCGGAGCTTCACGTGCACTTTTGGGAAAGTCAAATAAGACAGCGTGGTCGCAACGAGGACACAGTAGCCAGTATACTGTGTACCTGAACTGTTACCTACAGCAGCCTGAGTCAAAATTTAGCGCAAGGGTCTAAATAAAGCCAGATCAGGGTATTGTTTCCTGCATTATTAATTGGTCCAACTAATTATCCTCTTGACAGAAAGGGAGGTTCTTTATTGGTCTGTGTGACAAATCCTTGGTTTAGACTCCACGGCAGCCCCTCAGATATAGCTTATTTCTGTCGCTCACTCGTTTGTCCTCAGTACGTACATTAGAACAGTGCTTTCAAATTGCAGGGCAACTAGTTTGTCGGTTGTCGTTTGCAGCTACGGTAAACTGAGCATAAAAATCAGCTCCCCTGTAGGAAGTGAATAGATTTCAAGGTTTTGAAGTTGAGACTTACCGTAAGCAGAGTCAGTTTATCAGGATCAAGAACCTTAAATTGTTCTTGAAATGGAAAACCATCCAAAGGTTTTCTTCTGAGAACCCAGTACTTCTGGTACTGATAAGCGCCAGATTAAGCGATGCAAACTGTGTGTGTGTGGAGGAAGAGTGGTGCAATTTATTACACTGCTAAAAAAGTTAGAGTAGTGGGACTTCTGGCCGATAGATTGCAGTCTATGATGCCCAAGATGTACAGGATAATCCCTGTCGAGAACCTTCAGTATCGTTGTAACAACTATACTGCATCTTAGCTTTTAGGCATAAGTTGTTTTCAACTGTTAGATAAAATTAATCTCGTCCTGTAGTTCTTTCGCCGAGTTAGTTTAACCCATCAACACCGGTCAATGTGAAATCGCCGGGTAGCGGTGAGGCAGTGGCTGTGCGTTAACTACTGGCATGCATGCAGACATGCGCGCTGCCAGCCAAGAGTGAATTCCGGCTATTATAGTTTGGCCGGTCAAATGTTTAGACTGGCTGACCCGTTAACTTCTGTCTCGAGTGGTCGATGATCCACTGATGGTGTAGCCTCGATGGATGATATTGTTTGGATCACTGAAAACACCAAAAACTGTTTGTGGCTCTAGAGCGACCGACATTTTCCAGATGACAAGACCCATCATCTATGCATGGATTGAGTTTTGACAAGTAATCTAGAATGATCTTGGAACTCACTGAATAATGATTTTTTTGTACGTTTGGCATCCAAGTAAACCTACTTGAACTTATGTGAGTTGGTCAAAAAGAAGTCTTGACTCGTGTTTGCCATATGGCCTGTATCCATTTGCGATTAATCGGAATCATAGGTGTGTGTATATCTGTCCATTAGGAAGTATGGCCCTGATAGCGGTGGTCAAAATCACACACGTAGGAGGAACAATTAATACCAAAATCCGAAGAAAATATTCCGTCATAAATTTATACACCGAATATTTCTATTTAATAACTGTTAAAAGAAATGAATAGTGTCAACCCCGGAAGAACAATCCTATACAGGCGTGATTATCGGGCGTACCAGAAATACCAGGAGTATACGACAGTTATAAGCGATAACCGCACCAACAAATGCTTGCCTGAAGGACTTACTGTTTTTTGTTCCTGGCTCACTAATGGCCAACTGTTTGCTGCATTAACCGCAAACAGTTTCCGGAAACGAAGTTCAATTTTTTGGCTAAGTAACTTGCGGCATTCTCAGAGCAGAGATCGAGAGGTAGGAGGTGTGACGGTTTCATTCACATATTACTTTAGAATTTGTGGACTTTTATGCATAAAAAATTCTCGGCTGGAAAAAGTGCCTAACTAAGGAGAAACTGAGTCTAACTATAAAAAAAAAGAAAATACCGCCTTTCGTTCATTCTGTCGGTATCTGGTGGTTGTATTTGGCCTGCATTAGAGCCGTATTAATCAATCAATCACTTATCTTTGGCGCCAGATTCTAAAATTTCTTGGACTACGTCCTATGGAAGTAATCAAGCAATTCTTCCAGACGGTTTGGAAACAGCTGCAAAGATTTTTGAGACAATTGGAAAACCAGACAGCGTGGGCCTCTGGTGTGAGGCGAGGTTTAGCATTCTTAAAAGCATAAACCCTAAATATTAGATTACCACACGGGAGGTTTGTAATCTAGATGGAAGGAAAAAAATGATGAGGCGTTTTTAAAAGTAACAGGATGAATTTGGTGAAGAATACTATCCGCAGTATTACATTAAACAAAATTAATTTCTGGTTAGTGTGGTAGATAACTTTCAACAGAGATGGTAGCGTATTCCAGCGATGAAAATTTCGTCACTGGATTTTTTTATTCTTCGAGTTAAACAAAACCGACAGCACTGATGCAGACAAGTGCGTTTTCTTTCGATCTGGACCACGAATGTTACAGCTAGTCAATAACAGATAATGATTTACATCTTTCGAGCCATGAGATAATCCATTTTTGTATCTCTGCACGCCCCACTGTGAATGTGGGTTTTGGCAGCTTGGATCAGTGTAGAAATTTCGCAAAGAAAAAACAATATACCCGGAGCATATGGTGTGCCTAGAACTGGTTTCTACATGTGCTTTCGAAATTTTTCCACTTCTAAGAGACCGATCCTATGTGAATTAAACCAAAGTGGTGGGTCAAGAGATTCAGCAAATCGCCTGGGTTAGAATTGTTGAGCAGTATCGCCACACCTCTTCGAGAATGAGTAAAAAACATCCCAAAAGTCGTGTTCCCATTTTCAGATTGAC